AAAAAAAAAAAAAAAATCCGTAAACAGGACTGCTAAGGCTGTTCCTGCCTTCTCCACTCCATGCTGCCTTCTGCCTGGGGCTCCGTGACGCGTGGAGTCGGCCATCATCGCCACCTTGGCCTCCCAGAGTGCTGGAATTACAGGCATGAGCCACTGCGCCCGGCAGCCCTGACGTTTTCTGACCCTCTCCATGGGCGTCTACGTGTCTCCTGTGGGGAGGAAGACAGGAGAGCCCTGGCGTGTAACCACGGCAGAGTGACTGGGACACGGTGGCACGGCAGGGTGGTTGTTCCAGGGGGACGCGGCAGCTGCCATACAGGACATCAACCCTGCCTGTGAGGTGATAACTGAGGGGCCAGACCTACTTACAAGACAAAGTGAAACCAGGCATCGGAGAGGATGGACTGCAGATCCGAGGGTCTCAGCAGGAAGATGGCAATGCCCTAAGGCCAGGAAGGAAAGACAAACTGCACCCTCTTCATGACCCTCACCGGGGAGCTGATTCTCTGCATGACCCTCACCGGGGGGCTGAGCCTCTGCATGACCCTCACCGGGGAGCTGATTCTCTGCATGACCCTCACCGGGGAGCTGAGCCCCTGCATGACCCTCACGGGGGAGCTGAGCCCCTGCATGACCCTCACCGGGGAGCTGAGCCCCTGCATGACCCTCACCGGGAAGCTGATTCTCTGCATGACCCTCACCAGGGAGCTGAGCAGGGGGTGCTTCCCCAGCACCAAGACTCAGTGAGGGCTGAATGCGCAAAGGCCGGGCTAGAGTCCAGGTGGTGGATCTGAAAGGGGACCTGTGCCTGGGGGGCGTAGGCACCTCCACGGTGAAGGTGAACGCTCCCTCCAATCTTCTCACCTCCCTCACTCCTTACCCCATCCTCACCCCAGAACCTGCAAAGCAGTACTATCACTACAGCCACCTTCCCTCCCCAAATCCAGCCTAGCGTTCCAGCCTCCGAGCCTTTGCTCATGCTGTTCCCCATACCCACCTTGTAATGACTTTGTCCTCATTGTCCTCGTGCCCAATCCTAACCCACCAGAGTAAGTGCCATCTCTGCCTTCAAGCATCTCTACCATTCCCTGTCCCCAGATAAAAGTCACCCCCTTCCTCTGAACACTGATCTGAACCCAGCTTAGGGTCTTTTTTGGTCTATCATAAAGTCTTGATGTTTATGCCCATGCCATGTCCCCCACCAGGCTGTGAACTCAAAGACAGCAAACTCGTCCCATCCCTGTCACCTCCTCCAGGGCCACACATACATAGGAGGTGCTCAGATTATATGTGTTGATTCACTGGATGGATGGATAGATGGATGGATGGATGGATGGATGGATGGATGGATGGATGGATGGA